ATTTTTGATACTTTATACTTCGTATAAGATTAAACCATGGTACATACCAATCAAATTTCTCCTTTTAAATCTTAATGTAAATGAAAATGCCAGTGGAAATAAAAATAAAAAAACGACTGGAAAGAAAAAAAGAGATATCTTTATATCAATATTTTCAAATGAAAAAAAATATCTTGAATTAGAAAAACAAAATCAAGTAGAAAAAGAATGCGGAATCAAAACAGATTTTGAATCAACTCTCTCAAATCAAGAAAAAGATATTGAAGAAAATTATGCGGTATCAAAGATGAAAAAAAATAAAAAACAATCCAGGACCAACATGGAAGCGGAGTTTGATTTCTTACTAAAAAGGTATTTGCTTTTTCAATTGAGATGGGACGATTCTTTAAATAAAAAAATGATCGATAACATCAAAGTATATTGTTCCCTGCTTAGACCGATAAACCTAAGAGAAATTACTATAGCCTCTATTCAAAGGGGAGAAATAAATCTGGATCTTCTAATGATTCAGAAAAATTTCATTCTTACAGAATTGATTAAAAAGGGAATATTACTTATTGAACCAGTTCGTCTGTCTAGAAAAAATGAAGGACAATTTATTATGTATCAAACTATAGGTATTTCGTTGGTTCATAAAAGTAAACACACAATTAATCAAAGGTATCGAGAAAAGGGCCATGTTGATACGAAGAATTTTGATGAATTCATTTCAAAACATCAAAAGATGACTGAAAATCGAGACAAAAATCATTATGATTTGTTTGTTCCTGAAACTATTTTATCCCCTAGACATCGTAGAGAATTGAGAATTCTAATTTGTTTCAATTCTAGGAATAGAAATGGTATACCTAGCAATGCATTTTTTTGTAATGAAAATAAGGTAAAGAGTCCGGTTTTGAATAAAAGCAAAATAAATCAAAATAATATAATTAGATTAAAGTTCTTTCTTTGGCCTAATTATCGATTAGAAGATTTCGCTTGTATGAATCGCTATTGGTTTGATACCAATAATGGCAGTCGTTTCAGTATGGTAAGGATACATATGTATCCGCAATTTAAAAATGAACTTAAGCGTGTACTGAAAAAAAGTGAAATACGGATTGATTTTATTTCCCGTACTATATTGCATATATGAAGACAAATAGATGCACACCTATATTGTTTTCTATTCCATTATGATACACGATACTAATTTAATGACATATCAATATCTAGAAATAATGCAAAAATCTTCTTAGTTTATTTTTAAATTTTAGATATAATTTTTTATCTTTTGTGAGTGCAGACAACTATCTTTTTGTTTACCTATTCGAATACAATTTTCAAATTGGAAATTATTCACAAAATTAAGATTATTCACAAAATTAAGATTATTGTATTGTGTATGCCAAATAAAAAAAAAAAAATGAATAACATTATTATTATTGATCAATAAAAAAATCTAGCAAAGCAATAAGGGCCGGTGGGGGGGAAGATTTCATTTTATGATAAAAAAGTCATTCATCTCGGTTATTTCACACGAAGAAAAAGAAAAAAACAGGGGGTCTGTTACATTTCAAATACTAAGCCTCACTAATAGGATACGAAAACTTTCTTCACATTTGGAATTGCACAGAAAAGACTATTTATCTCAGAGAGGCCTCCGTAAAATTTTGGGAAAACGCCAAAGGATGCTGTCTTATTTGTCAAAGAACAATAGAATACGTTATAAAGAATTAATTAATCAGTTAGATATTCGGGAATCAAAAATGCGTTAATTTGAATTTGAGGAAGCGTTTTGAATTATTGAATTATTTGATTTATTAGATCTTGATTTTTTTTTATTTTAATGAACTTATTTTCGCTTTTCAGTAATTCATGAAAGAATCAATCGAGGAAAAAGAAAAACCTATGAATATACCAGCTCCAAGAAAAGACCTCATGATAGTAAATATGGGTCCCCACCACCCATCAATGCATGGTGTTCTTCGACTCATCGTTACTCTCGATGGTGAAGATGTTATTGACTGTGAACCAATATTAGGCTATTTACACCGAGGAATGGAAAAAATTGCGGAAAACCGAACAATTATACAATATCTGCCTTATGTAACGCGTTGGGATTATTTAGCTACTATGTTCACAGAAGCAATAACCATAAATGGACCGGAGTTGTTGGGAAATATCCAAGTGCCTAAAAGAGCCAGCTATATCAGAGCAATTATGTTGGAGTTGAGCCGTATAGCTTCTCATCTCGGCCTCTAAAGGCCCCGTTTGGCTGAAAGCCGTAGCTGTTGTTTTTCTTGAAACTGTTTTAGTCAAAAACTGTGCCGTTTCGGGAATCTGTGTTTTAGTACCTCTTAGGGTCGGATTTTGAAAATCTTTTCTTCATCAAATTTCTTCATCTCGTCGAAATATAAAATTGTCACTTTTGTGAAAAATCGAGATTCAGCTTCTAAGGGTCCCGTTTGGCTGAACCAGTGGCTGCCAGTTTTTTTTTCGAAACTGTGTTGGACAGCTTGTCCGTTTTTGCCAAATGGCTTCAAACTTGGTTTTAGAGTTAAAATTAGGTTTTGTCATAGTAACCGAAAATGTTCAAAACATCCAGGGCTATAAGTTCAAGCTTTAAAACATTGAAAAATCTCGCTCTATGGTCCTCATTTTTCGCGGTCAAAGTCACCGGAAAATTTTTCCTCTAATCCGAAAATAAGCAACTTAGATTAAGCATAAACATACCACATCAAACTAAGCTCAAAACTCACAAAACCAACATAAAACTCACACACTCTTATTACAATCTTATCTCTTCAAGAACCACAAATTTACATCCATAAATCCAAGCTTAAAGTTGGCTAGAAATTAATGGAGGGGAGTTTAAGAACTTACCCTTGAAGAATTCTCTCTTTCTCTTGAAAAACCCTTGAACTCCTCTAGGATTGTTAATGGCTTGAAACTATAAGAGTATAAGGAAATTTGAGAAGAATATTTCTCTATTTCAAACTTTCCCAAAACATGAAAAAGAGAGGATTTAGAGTTTCTTTACCCTTAGAGGAATGCTTGACTAGTCTCCTCCTAGAATCCCTTAATCTCCTTCTTCTTCTTCTATGGTGTGCTAGGGGCTCAAGTTTTGGAGAGTGGGAGAAAATATTTGAGAGGAAATGGAGAGTGTGTGGCCGGATTTTTGAGTGGGGAAAAAGCTAGGAGAAAAAAAATGAAGCTTATCCTATGTTGGTTCCTTTTATAGGCACTTGGAAATTATTTTTTTTAACACCAATTCCACTCCATCATTCAACCAAATTTTTGGTTCAAATCCCCCTTTCTTGGCCGGTTTTGGAAAGAGAAAAGAAGAAGCAACTTGCCATTAATTCCCCTTCAACCACTAACATCACATCACCTTAACATAAAGTCCTCTAGCACACTCCACTAGCCAAAGGTTTGGCTCTATTTTTTCATGCATGGCCGGCCAAGTGGAGGAAGGGAGAGAAAAAAATCTCACCTACCCCATTGTACTCTTGTCCACTTTCTTAAGTTTCCCTTAGAAACTGATAAAAATTATACTGACTATAAGAGAGTAACTTAGCTAACAGGAATTCGTTTCCATTTCTGACGGTTCCTTTTTCTACTGCTTATTTACAGTTAAATGTTAAATCCTTGACTGCTTTGGATATCACATTAAATTCTTATTCGCGTAATATCTTGAACTGTTTACAGTCTTGAAATTAATTCTAGACTGAACAAATTCTAAATTTAACTATCATGCGTTAATTTTCAGAAATGACGTTGTTTCTGACGGTGTCAACTCCCGAGTTTACATTATACCCTTCTACTATGGGTATTTATCTTCTGACTTTGACCTAGCTGTCTGGCAATTAAGGATTTTCTCTTTTTTAAAAATGTCAGTGCGTTTTTTTTTTACGCTGCTAACATCATGCTGTGTTTGGAGATTCTTGAAATTAAGATTCTCAAACTATACTTGTACTGAAAATTATTCCGCCTTAAAGTACGGTAAGAATTTATCGATCGAATTTACTTGATCGAAAACATGAACTTAACATGAAATCTGCTACAGAATTTAGGAATACATATATTGATTCCATAAATCCTTCAGTCACATAATATTTTCTAGGAAAATCCTTAGCTTAAATAAATAAATTGTATTATTTAAAGTCTGAAATTTTCTTAGTCATTACAACAGCTAGAGAGCAAATGGTGACGAGTTGATCACCACGACCATCAAAACCAATCGAAGCAAACCGACAAAGGGACAAGAGCATCAGAGGAGAATCACCCATTCACTAGCGTATGAGATCCACGCGTCGTCGCTGCGTCACACAACTCCTCCCACGCTTCCCACCATCAGATTTGCCACAACAAAGGACTCGAGGCATCGAGAGCCCCTGGTCGCTGGAGTACTAATGTACACCGCAAACGTAACCAGACGTGCAACATCCAACTCCCTCTATATCACCAAATCCTAACTTCAACCGTCATGAAACCAACCCAAACATGTAAATCCTCACCAAGGAAACCCGAATTTCCTCTTTGGCCGAAAATCTAACCGCCAGCGAGTTGGCGGTGTCGGATTATGTCCCTAAATAACCCAAAGGGAAGACCAAACCCTAACCCCCAATAAAGAGAGAAGAAGAAGAGTTATAAAAGAAAAGGAATGGTTTTGACATTTAGGGTATGTTCATTTCATTATTAAGTCATATTGTTACAATGTATTCTCTCACAAGCATTTAAATTTATCTTTTTTGCTACAATATTTGTCTCACATACACAACTCAAGTCATAAAAAATAAAAAAAATAAATAAATAAATAAATAAATAAAAACTTAGTCACTTATGGGAAAACAATAACATAGAGAAACTGATAAAACAAAACGATAGTGGATAAATCGATAATATCTCAAGAAACAAAAACGATTGTAAAAATGAGAACGAAAAAGGCCAAACGATAATAAATTATAGGAAAGGGAAAAAAGCTCCCAGACTACAAAAACGAAAACAAAATAGAGCTAACAAAGACCATGACAAAGAAATCCACCCACCAAATTGTGAGCAAACCAAAAAGTCATCTAAGTCTTTTATTATTTCTCTATCCTATCTACTTGTAACCATTAAAGCAAAAACAAACATGACAATGATCTCAAACTCCGACTTTCCTTAGTAAAGCCTTTCTTCTTTTCTCCACCTCTAAATCACCCACCATGGATTTTCTTCTCTCCCACTTGCTAATAGCAGTTTTTGCAGGAATTTTGGGACTGGTTTTTCTATACCTACGGAGGGCAAAAACAAGCCAAAAAATTAAAGTCACGTTAGGCCAACCCCCACCAGAGTTCCCAGGTGCGTTACCTATAATAGGTCACCTCCACAAACTAAGTGCCCAAATCCCAATTTTCAGAACCATGGCTGATATTGCAGACAAATATGGCCCAATCTTCTTGTTCCGTTTAGGCATGAACCCGGTTCTTGTCATCAGCAACTACGAGGCAGTCAAGGAGTGTTTCACCACAAACGACATAACTTTCGCATCAAGACCAAGGTTATAAGCAAAATTACTTCGTAATTAATTGATTTTGGATTTATTCTTTCTGCTCAGCTTCTGTGCGAAGCCTAGCACGATAAGAGCAGGGGCACCTTGTGGGCCCGTGCAGCCTACGCCTGCTTTCATGCGGAGCTGGTGCTTCACACGAAATCGAATAGCATTTTTGTTCTGATTTTAGGAGATTTATCTCGTCTTCACTACTATTTCCCTTTGCTTAAAGATTAAATGCGTGAATATTGTAATTATTTCTATAGAGTAGGTTAAACCATTCACACAAATTGCCATTTTTGTTCTAAATCTCATACAAGGTCCACACACGGAACGCACCTCGGCTACGACTTTGCCGCATTTGGGTTCGCACCGTACGGCCCGTATTGGCGGACCATGAGAAAGTTGGTCATGATTGAGCTGCTCTCGAACCGCAGGCTCGAAACATTGCGGCATGTGCAAGTCTCTGAGGTTGAGACTTTGGTCAACGGCCTGTACGGACAATGCAAGAAAAATGGTTTTGGTCCGACCGAGGTGGTGATTAGTGAGTGGATTGAACACTTCACTTTGAACATTATTACTGAAATGATTGCTGGAAAGAGGTACTTTGATAGTAGTGGAAAAGTGGTTGGGGGAGAGGCTGAGAGAATTGGGAAGGTTATAAAGGAGTACATGTGCATTTCTGGGGCTTTTATTGTTTCTGATTTAATCCCAGTTCCCAAATGGGTTGATTTTAATGGGAATTTGAAAGCCATGAAGCGAATTGGGAGGGAAATAGACGTTTTGATTCAGAGTTGGGTTGAGGAACACAAGAGAAGTGAGGCAAGTGACAAGCAGGATTTCATTGATATCATGTTGTCGTTGATTGAGGAAAATCATGAGCTTGGCTATGCGCGCGACACCATTATAAAGGGAACGGTTTCGGTATGTCTTTCTTTTCTTTTTTTTTTGCTTGTTAAAAGGAGAGAGTTTATTATTCAATCAAAATAAATACTATAACTCTTCGATGATATCGAAACACCCATATAAAAAATCATCCATTATAATAAGGACAATAATTGTTCTGTCCTACTAATAAGGCAAGTTTTTTAAAGTTATTTGATTAAATTTCAAAGAATTGATCTATAAGCGGCAAGTTTTTTTAAATTTTGTGATTTGCAGTGTATTATTTTCAGCATAGACTCTTTTCAACCAGATAATGTTATTTTTATCGTTTTTGCCTTAGTTTTATTTGCTTGGGATATTTTTTTTTACTCCAAGAAAAAAAATAAATAACAAAATGTTGATGTCTTACTAATTTTAACCAGGTACCATTTGGTGAATACATGTAAACGATTTGTGCTGAATCTAGGAACAGTACCTTACCTCAAGCAAAAGATAAAACGTCGAGAAAATAGCCTTAAAATTCATGGGATTACTCCAATGAGGCGTCACATAACATAACAAGCTCGTTACAATCTACCAAAAAACAAACAAAATAAAACAAAACAAAAACCACCCTTCTCAGTCAATCCCTAAATTGGACCAGAAAGAGAGAGAGAAATCGAAGAGGAACTTGGAAGCCCTAGAAACCTTTTAAGCCGTATTCTTCCACTGAGGAGAAGAAGAAAAAGAAGAAGAAGAAGAAGGGAAAAAATAATAAATAAATAAATAAACTCCTCAGAGAGAGAGAAATTGAAGAGGGAGAGCTGAATTTTGAAGGAAAAACTGAATCTTAAACCAAAAAAAAATTAAAAAAATTAAAAAATAACATACTATCAGGTCTTTCAGAAAGATTATCAGGAAGGAACTGTTAGTTTTTCATAAATCAATCAAATTAGCATATCACGCGCTTTGACGATGAAGTCAATTTATATGATGATTATGTATTATGATTCGCTGATTATATGTGATTACTTTGTTTCAAGTACTTGATATTGTCACACGCTTCAACAAAAGAGCAACGTCACACTCATCCACAAGTTCACCAACAGTGACCATCTGTAAACTCTGTTTCTTATCAAGTGTTCCCAACTTCTGCTCTTGTAGACTCTCATCATAGCAGGCTCCGACACCACAGCCATAAACTTGACATGGATCCTAGCACTATTACTAAACAACAGACGAGCACTAAACCGTGCCCAAGAAGAGCTAGACCTCATAGTTGGCAAAGAAAGATGGGTTGAAGGCTCCGACATAAAAAACCTAGTTTACCTTCAAGCCATTGTCAAGGAAACGCTACGCCTATACCCTCCAGGCCCTCTAGCAGTTCCGCATCAGGCGAGGGAAGACTGCACAGTTTGTGGCTTCCATGTACGGAAGGGCACTCGTTTGTTTGTCAATTTGTGGAAGCTGCATCGAGACCCCAACACCTGGCCCGACCCGGAAGCGTTTTCGCCCGAGAGGTTCCTCACGAGCCATGCAGGCATAGATGTTTTAGGTCAGCATTTTGAGCTCATCCCATTCGGTTCCGGTAGAAGATCATGTCCCGGGATGGCTTTTGCCTTGCAAGTGACACACTTGGCTCTGGCGCGCCTTCTTCAAGGGTTTGTGTTTGCAACAAAATTGGATGAACCGGTTGACATGAGTGAAGGTTTAGGTATTACCTTGCCTAGAGCCACTCCTGTAGAAGCTGTATTAACCCCTCGCCTACCTGCTGAATTATATCAACATTAGGAATAGATTTATAATAATATGTATTTAGTTTGCTAAGTTCTAAGCAATTATAGTACTTTATGAATATGTTTGGAACTCTATAACTTAAAGATGGAATGGACTTAGCATTAGGTTGTACTAGCAAGTAGCAACCGTTATGTTTTGTGTTTGCCTTTTGAATTACTGCTTGTAAATGGGTATAACAAAAATTGGTTGCTTTGTTCTAGCAAACCAATGGGTTGTTCTTTTACATTTTTTAGTTAGGGTGATTTGAGTGATGATCTTGAGTTAAGTTTTAGTTATAACTTGAGTTGAAGTTGTAACTTTAGTTTGTGTTTGGATGTGCACATTTGAGTTATGATTTGAATTGAGAATCTTTTTAAGTTTGTGTTTGGGTGGGTCAAAACTTAAGGGGCTGTTCTTTTACTGTTTTTGAGTTAGGTGACTTGAGTGTAGATTTTGAGTTGAGTTTGAGTTATAACTTGAGTTGAAGTTGTAACTTGAGTTTGTGTTTGATTGTGTATATTTGAGTTATAGTTTGAGATAAGAATCTTTTTGAGTTTGTGTTTGAGTGAGTCAAAACTTGATTTTGTATTTAGATAGTATTTTAATAAAAACTCCATGCTGATGAAAAATTTTAATAGGGTATATGAGTGGGGTTTTATTCATTTTTTTGTTGTCAACGCATAAAAAAAATCATCTCAATTAAAATTAAAACGAAAAAGTTATAGTATTTTTAAGAATAGAAAACATATTGTTCATCAATTTGAGTTCGAGTTTCTGAACTCGAGTTGAAATAGAAACTTGAACTCGAGTTTTAGTCTCAAACTTGAGTTCAAACTCGAGTTCAAACTTAAAATAACATGAACTTGAATAAAATTGTAACTCAAGTTACTTTTTTTGAGTTTTTTACTCAAAAAAATAGCCCCTAAATTTGTATTTAGATCGTATTTTGATAAAGACTCAATGGTGATGCAAAATTTTAATAGGGTATATAGGTGGGCTTTTATTCGTCTTTTCGTTGAGAATGCATAGAAAAAAAATCATCTCAATCAGAATTAAAACGAAAAAGTTATGGCATTTTTAAGAATAGAAAAAATATTGTTTATTAACTTGAGTACGAGTTTATAAACTCGAGTTGAAGGGGAAACTTGAACTTGAGTTTAGCCCCAAATTCGAGTTTAAACTCGAGTTCAAACTCAAATTCTACAAAAGAACATAAACTCGAATAAAGTTGTAACTCGAGTTCAAATTTTTTGTGATTCGTTACAAAAGAACAACCCATGAGTCTTTTATGTTTTACCTAAATTGAAAGGAAAAAAAATAATATTTATTAGTATCAGCAACAAGTGAAATTCACATCGGGGTATTTTACTGTGAAAAATAACAAGGTGTCAACTTAGCTTAAACCCGAATTACTCTCCTACCCAATGACAAAAATCTGATTTGTGCTTAGCCCAAATGCTGAAATAAACCATGTGCTCTTAAAAATGTTAAGATTATTTTTTTTTTCAATTCGACCAAATCCACCCTAAAATTTTTATAATCATACAAAATCGACCTTCAATACCAAATTTAGTCAAAATTGACTATGTGAAACAAAAATGTTGTCCTATATAAAATTAGTTGCACAATTATTTTAAGGACAATAACTTCATCGAGCTCTAGCAAAAATAAAACTTAAAAGAAAAAACATAACTGATTATTCTCAAATACAAAAAAAAAAAAAAAAAAAAAAAAAAAAAAAAAAAAACTAAAAAAAAAAAAAAAAAAAAAAAAAAAAAAAAGAGAATAAAATCGCAGTTATTGCCTTTGAAAATTCTCTACATTGCTTTTATAAAAAGATAATTATTTTTATTCTTTCGCACAACTAATTTTGTTTGGGTCTCACATCAAATGTAGATTTTTATTTTTTTTATTTTTTGATGAAAAGATGCCTTTATTTAATCAAAAGCCAAATCGGCAATAGCACACTGAGCAATGACATCAAATGTAGATTTGTGTGGTTAAAAAAAAAAAAAAAAAACACACACACACACATAAATTTTGTCGGATTAAAAAATCCAAAAAATAATCTCAACATTTTTCAAAATTGAAAACATAAAACCTTGGATAAGTACAGAAGATCTTTTCTTGCCATTATCCCTGAAATAAATGATCTTGGGCAAAGATGGGAAAATCATTTGCTGGTTAGCATTTCCTTCTTGTAATCCTCTATTAATTATATGAATCTAAGTCGAGTCACCATTTAGTGCGCTGGAGTCAAACTACCGCTAGTGTGGGACAAAAAGTTGTGGAAGTTGGAAGCAAGCCACTAATGTAATATACAAAGCATCTCTAATACAATTTTCTAAATTTTAATTAAATTTGAGCTAAAATAACTAAAAAGTTATTTTAACTAGTAATTTTTTTTAGTGAATCACTCTAATTATATTATCTATTTAAATTAAACATAAATTATTTTAACATTTTTTTGAGTTTAAAATATAAATAACTTTTTTTTAACTTTTCTTTTAAGTCAAAACAAAAAATAAAATAATAAAAAGAAAAAATAGCTAGTCACTTTTTGCTAGTTATATTTAGCTAGCGAAAAATATTTTAGCCAAAATAGTTAACCATTTAGTGGATAAAGCTAAATAAAAAAAAAATAAATCATTAACTATTTTGACTAAAAACATGAAATAACTAGCATGATTAGAGTTGCTCTCAGAATGTCAAGAGGGAAAGGAAATAAATATCTTCTAAAATGTATAAGTCTAGAATGTTACTCTTTAATTTTGATTAATATTCTTTTTCATTAAGTAACTGTATTAATTAAAGAGTATTAATTAAAAATAAAAAGTAAAAATTAAGTGTTATACACTCTAAAAGCCGTTTGGTTCACGCAAATAGAAGCCCAACCTTATTGTAAAGCCTATAAGGCCTACAATGGGAAGTCCAATGCTGGCGTGCTGCCCATAAAGCCTACCAAACTATTGCCATATTTTGAGGTCCTGTCTCATCCATTTGCATAATATATTATAGGAAAATGATCTTGAGTTGGAGATTTGATTATACTCTTGATTTTTCACAAAAAAAAAAAAAAAAAAAAGACCAATTAAAGCTAGATTGAAGATTGAGTAGCAAAAATATCCATGCACGTTAATGGAAATGGCCGACCCTGGGATCACGGAAACAAAGTCGTCCAACTGGGGGAAAATTTGACATAAATATATACTGAGTCCATTAAATAGAAGCATTCTTGGGCCGGTCGTAATTCGATACATTTTAATAGAAGTGTAGAGTTCAAATCTCTTAGAAGACGTTTAGTTCATAGATTAGAATCAAGATATTAGAATTATTTTCGATTTACGTGTATTTTTTGTGAGAGAAAATACTGTAACGAACCATAAATCATTATTCGAATCAGGGTACGAATCCCCTTATAAACACACCCTTAACTTAAAATTCTATAACTATTATTTTTAAAAAGAAAATCTATAACTATTATTTTTAAAAAGAAAATTACATAATTACATAGGGTTGTGCGGAGCATACTACAATAAAGATTCGTTTTATATGATCTTACTGTGACGCAAATGATGGAAAAAGAAAAGGGTAGAAAATTAGGTCAACCCCCAATAAGGCAAGTAACACAATCTTAGGATCCTATCTAGTATCTACAAATCTATTTGACCTCAAAATTGCCCTTTCACAACGTGATCACAGTATCACCTAATTTCCACTCCTAATGGCAACGACATAAATGCCACATAATATCTACCAACAACTGCATGCCCTCTTCGTGTCTCTCAAAAAACGGATATAAACAACCCCACCCAAAAAAAAAAAAAAAGAAAGAAAGGCTCTCACTGTTTTTCCTGTCCTAGTCCCCAAAAAAAAAAAAAAAAGAAAGAAAGGCTCTCACTGTTTTTCCTGTCCTAGTAGTACTTTGATTTCATATACATTACACAGACATAATAGTACTTTAATTTCTTGGTTTTCTGTTTTCTGCTTTTGCTGTGTCATTTCTCTCTCTTGAAAAGGAGGTGAGAGAGGTGAGAGAAACTTGAACTGGTGATCATGGGGAGGAAGAGAAGCTCGCCGGCGAATGTCGTTTTTGGGTGGCTGAGAAGGCAGCCTATGAAGGTGAAGATCTTTCTTGGAGCCACTCTTGCTCTCTTTGCTCTGGTCGCTTTGAAGTTGACGGTGAAAAATCATAGCCACTTCTTTGTTGCCTCTGAAGCCGTTCATGCTCTTGGGATTATGGTTCTGATTTATAAACTTACCACCCAAAAGACTTGTTCTGGTAATATCTGATTCTAATTCTGTCTATTACTCTGTATTTTTTTTTTTTAATGTTTTTTATGTGTCTCCATCTATTGATCATGTGGATAAATATTGGATGCTTTTAATTAGGCTTTTCTTTGGGATATGCCCAAAACCGGATTTTGGTCTTTATTCTGTTAAATAATTTTTGTATGGCATGTTTTCAGAACGATTGATAATTTTTTATTTTATTCCTTGATTATCCTAAATCACAATCTATTTTCTTATCTTATGGATATTCACGTTTGATATCTTCTATGTAACTTTTGCATTCTGTAATTGTATTAACTTTCAGTCCCTATAGGCCACAACTCTCCGCATATCATTTTTTGCCATGATGGTCGGGGCACGATGCTGAACCAATAATAAGATTATGTGCAATTTAGTCCCTGGACACATTATTATCTTTGGTGCATTAACATGTTTTTTGCTAATTGAGGAATTTTGTATCACCTGCTTAGGTCTTTCATTGAAGTCTCAAGAACTTACAGCTTTGTTCCTAGCGGTTAGACTGTTCTGCAGTACCATCATGGAAGGCGACATTCACACATTGCTAGATTTCACCGCTCTGGTTTCCACAATATGGGTCATATATATGATACGGTTCAAGTTGAAGTCAACATACATCAAGGAGCTAGACAATTTCCCCTTATATTATGTGGTAACTAATTATACCTTTGTTGCTTATATTCTTACTTGCATCATAAAAACTTTTAACATTTATATCCCTTTTATCTACATAGAAAAGCATTAAGGGACATCTATACTAGTGCACCCCCAAACTTTCATCATTTGCAAGTCAATTTTAGTTTTAGCTTTTCGGACCCTATATTTGATAATTCTTGGCATTACTGTCTAATAAACAATGGGCGTGAACTGATAAACAATAATTACGATCCCAAATGCCAAAATTAAAAAGTTAAAGAAATAACTTGCCAACGAACAAAAACTTCTGGGTGCATCTTGTGCAAAATTCTAGGGAAATTGCGTCCATTAATTGACACTCCGTTGGCTATTGGATCTAAATTGCAACGGATTTCCAATTTTGATGTTTCATTTGCCAAAATTAGAAGTTTGGAGTGGAAGTTGTCAAACATTGAAAAGTTCATATTGCACAAGTGCAAAAAACCTAAACACAAGTTACAGATTAGGGGGTGTTAGATTTGAATACATTGATAATTTATGTAAGCCTAGCAATCACATTTTGTATTTCCGTTTATTTTTCAGGTAGTGCCTTCTGCTATTCTTGCGGTGCTTATTCACCCCTACACACAACATTTTCGCGTCGGCCGGATTCTTTGGGCTCTTGGTGCGTACATAGAAGCTGTTTCAATACTGCCTCAGCTTCACTTGATGCAGAATGCCAAGGTTTAACTCTCTTATCAAAAATCAACCATGATACATGATGGTTTGCCTAGTGTAGTAGTAGTGTAGTACTAACATATGTTCTTTTGTTCTGGAAATATGTTTCAGATGATTGAACCGTTTACAGCGCATTATGTGTTTGCACTCGGTATCTCTAGATTCCTGTCATGTGCTCATTGGATTATTCAGGTTAGTTTACTTTTGCTGAACATCTAAATCACATTATTTGTCAACAAATAAATGCAACAAAAAATACTAAATTTGAAGATATAATTTTCTGTGTCATTTTGTTCTTTTGGCGATTTTCATGCAGATTTATGAGACTGGAGGGAGGTACCTATACTTAATTGGATCTGGGTACTTCTGGTTCTTAGCCGCTTTCATTGCGGAAATGGTTCAAACATTCATCTTGACTGACTTTTGCTACTATTACGTAAAGAGGTAATTAGCCTCAATGCTTAAATTCTTTTTATAAAATCTCTATCCTCAAAAGTATTTCCCGAAATTTTTTCCTCAAAACAAATTCAAATGTGTCAAAATGCTTATACTTTGCTCCTCATGCTTTGTGTTTTGCAGTGTCATGAAAGGCCAGCTTATAATGAAAATGCCAGTTTAAAATGAATTCTAATCTCAAACTTGTAGGAAACAATGTTGTACATTTGTCTTCCTCACATCAAAGTATGAGGTTTCTTGTGGACTTGCAGACCGAATGTCCTGATTTTGTCATTTAAATACTAAATAGTCAGCCTTTCCCTTCTTTTTTTTTTTTATTTGTTTTGCCAACTTGTTTTACCTAGTTTCTGCCGTTTGTTTTGTTTTGCTTCACAGTCTAATTAAACTTCTGGAATGACACAATTATGATGTAGGATTGAGGAACTGGATTTTAAAAAGAAAGAAGAAAAAGAAGTAGAATATAGCAGGTGAGTTGGTTGAGGGTCCTTTGAACAAATATTTTTTTTTCTAAAAAAAAACAAAAAGATAAAAGCAAAACCAACAATGGTAGGTGATACTTGATCAACAAACTTATGGAGTTTCTTGGGTTTTGCCCTTTTCTTCGTCCTTTACGTCTAGTCCCGTTTGCCATTCAAGCTCCTTTGTGTTTTTTTTTTTTTTTTTCAAAATAGCACGTGAAATGCTAACTTATCCCTTGTATTTTAAAAACAATGTTAAAAAAAACATTCCCTCTAACGCAAAATTATATGCTAACCATCCTAAAAAAATTTCAAACGGTAGAAATAACCTGTCAATATTTAAACAAAATTAACTGAAAAAATGTAGTATTTTTTAGTGTTAACTCACTAAATTCTACCATCTCTGGTTTTTCTTTCTTTTCTTTTTTTTTAAGATTATGACTTTTTTATTTCAGATTTATTTTGAAAGTTTTTTCATTTTATATTTAGAATTTGAAATGTTATTATTTAAATTAAAGTGGAAATTGTCTTTCTTATACAATTAATTTGACTAAAGTATGTTAGGAGGGATATTTTTAATCCACGCAACGTTCTTGACAATATAAGGACACTGTGTGAAAAGACGGTGTCCTTCAAAACAAAAGTAAAATGCCTCATTTGAAAATAATAATAATAATAATACATGAGAGGTTTTTGATATTATCCATTGACGAACTTTAAGAATCTAACTTTTGATGACAAAACATGTTAAAAACATTTTCATGACTTTTTAATTTGGCTTTTTTTCTACAGAATTTTTTTTTTTTATAAAAAAAGGATATGTCGTCTACAAATAATTTGTCTATGGGCCCATGTCCTAGCAAGCAACATGTCGTGTTAATTTATTTGCTTATCAAATAACTTTAAAAAGATTTTAATTAAGAGTAAGATTTTAATTAAGAGTAAGAGATAAAAATCTATATTAATATATTTTATATTTTAAAATTAAGATCAGTAATTTTTTGTGAATTTATATGGACGTGTATACTTCTAAATATTGTGCGCTTAGTGATATGTGCTTTTGGATCAGGTCATCTTCTATTTATCATCTACCTAAAAGAGTAAGGCATTATAATAATTATGATTATATCACTCTATTTAAAAATAAATAATTATAATTTAATTAAAAAATAAAATAAAAAATTATAATAATACTTAATTATTTATAATAATATAGATAATAAGTACGCACAAAACCGCAACAAATCACGTATTTTTTTCAAAAAGTAATCCCATTGCTCCCGATTGGGAGAAGACCCACCTTATATGGCTGTCCTAAGTGGTCTCACTGGCATTTTGGATGATTAGAAATTTAGGGACGTTTGGTTGGAAGATTCAAACAATGATTTGAATCATAGTTCATGATTTATTACAGTATTTTTCTCATAAAAAATACTCGTAAATCAAAAATAATTTTAATCACATGATTTTAATTCATGAACCACGTATGTAGCCCAATATTCTAGTACTCTAATTTTTAAAACTAAAAATGAAAATGAAAAAAGATAAAAAGATAAAAAGTGAAAGCGTGTGGGAGAACTTGAAGTATAGCGCAATTTCTACTTTTCCATCGAAAAGGAAGAAGCTGGAGCTCACAAGCGGAAAGATGCATATACGGCTGAAGCTTTCAACTAAAATAACTAAATCATGTAAAAATCTATTTGAATAATAGTTTATTAGTAATGTTACTAATGTATTTGTACATATATCCTGTGAGATTTCCTCTATTTTTTAGTTGGGTTAATTTCTTCTGTTAGTTTTTTTTTTGTTTTTTTTTTTTTTTAGTGCATGTCATTTTAAGGTTCATTTTGAGATTCCGCGTGCTTGTGGCTTGTTTGAAATTAAAAAAGTGGCACAATGCGTTCTAACAAAATAAATTTTCCCTCCGTTCATTTTACCGATTCGTGTTTAGAATTTGAGTTTTGCTACAGTAAGAAACTCTCATAAACAATTACATTTTTTTTTTAACTACAGTAAAAAATTCTCACATAAAGTCATATCTTAACTCGAATTAAAAATTCAAATTAGAGAACTAAATGGGTCATTTATTACAATGGACATAGAATTGTGTATTTTTACTTTTTAGACTAATGAAAACCTTTATTTACATTAAATAAAAAAAGAGATGATAGTCTCCACAATGCTCTTCTCACTGATATTGAATCAAAGTCAAATATATATATATATATATATATATTATAAAGATTATACATATTGGTTGTTGTCTTAATAAAACACTTTCGTATTATACATGCACCTGGTAGGATTTTTTTATTGATAAGGTTATGACGGTTAGATATGATTAAAATTAAATTAGATTAAAAAAGTATGTATAATATTTTTTTTTATTATTTATGACAGTTAGATATTATTAAAATTAAATTAGATTAAAAATATATATAATATATTTTTTTATAAATTTAATTATTTTTTTATCCTATAAATCTCTCAAAATATAAATGCTATAAAAATTTTAAAATAAAAACATAAAAAAGTATTGAAAGAAGACCCGTTTTTAATATAGAATTCCTAGGATTCAGGGGAAAAAAAAAAAATCTAGTATAAGAAGAAAAGAAAATAGAAGCCGCATGGAATTTTTATATCATACACGTTGGAGTTTTAAAAAGTACAGCGAACACATTTCATCATGAAACGGCAGTGAGACCCACTTATTGGTATCGTCACACAGGATGAGGTTTTCACTTTTCACCCTATCGGTACAACCTAAAATTTCGACCAAACACAATTTTTTACTGTATCTTGAAATCTTAATAGTCTACGTTGAAATATAGAAAAAATTTTAATTTTTTTTACGAATAATAATACAACATCATCAGAATAATTACTATGTAATTTTTAGTACAACATGAAAATCATTATAATAATTACGATGTGATTTTCCCTATTTCTAAAATATTTAAAAAAAATGTTATAGTTAAATCTCAACCTTATGAATTTCATAAATTTGGTGTGTAGTTTAATTTTTACTTGTTAAATGTAAACGACTGGGGAAACTTTTTTTTTTTAATAAAAGAAAGAAAAACTGTTCGATTGTTTTTTTTTTTTAAATATAAATAGATTCCCCATGATTTAAGAGTTTGTTCGGATTTCTTTAAAAAACAAAAAAAGAAAAATCCTATCCACAAACATAAAAACGCCGAGAGGAAAGATTGATATCAATACCAAAATCAATTAATATCAATATATAAAGGATATATGTAAAATATATCAAGAAATTACAGTTTGGAGCGTGAGACCGAAAATAGACATCAAGAATGTATGAAAGGACAAGAAAACAATACCAATAAAAGTAAACAATCGAATACAAGCAACAAACACAGATTCAAAAATAATCTAATGAAATTTTAAACTCGAATCAGCGAAGTGAACGGGGCCGTAACATAACAAAGACCACGCGAATCAATATAATAACACATACCTTAATGGTCAACATTGTGATTCAAAAATTTTCTATGGCACTCAGATTACTTGAACAATCTAATGGAATACTATGATGGCGTTACAACTCCGATCCCATCCCTACAACAATAAAAGTCATTTGCGATGACATTTTGTCGTCGCAAATATTTTATTATTTGCGACGACATGTCGTAACAATTAACCCCCGTTAAATAAATTAAGCATGTCATCGCTAATAAGTTCAATGTCGTCGCAAATAGTTTAGGCGCGCAATTTCCAATTACGCGGATTTTTGCCGCCAAAGGGAATCCATTTTTTGCGACGACTCATCGTCGCAAATATCTTTTTATTTGCGACAACACATGTCGTCGCAAATAATATCACTCTATTTGCGACGATGTGTTCTCTTTGTCGTCGCAAATAAGCTTGAACGGTGGAATGATTATTTGCGACGACATATTGTCGTCGCAAATAATTTTAGATGTGTGGTATTTGCGACGGCATTTTAAATTTATTTACGACAACAATATCGTCGCAAATAATTTCAGATGTGGGGTATTTGCAACGGCATTTTAAATTTATTTGCGACGACAATGTCGTCGCAAATAAGTCTGATCTATTATACCCTAACTTCTTCCTCTTCATTTTCCCCCGATTTCACTCTCTCTCTCTCTAAATCTCTCCGCCTCTTCTTCTCCTCCCCGCCGCCCCTGCCGCCCTCCATTCTCTCTCTCTATTCCATTCTCTCTCACCTCTTCTCTCTCTTCTCAGGTTTCTCTCTCTCTTCCCTTTTTTCTCTCTCTCTCTCTTCTGCTCCCCCTCCCTCTTGTTCCCATCTCCGGCCGCCCGTCCGGCCGCCCCGCCCCCACCGACCAGCCCC